AATCTGCAGGAATGATAGCAAGTGTAGGAGATGAAATCTTCTTGTCCTTGCTGCTGTGAGGGCTGCATTTTCCTCAGCTCCCACAGACTTGACTGCTTCAGTGCGGACAAATTGTAACAGGTTTACATGGAAATGACTTGAAATGAGTTTTAAGCTTTTATTTCCATAGCAGCGAAGAAACTGCTGATCTGATTGCTCTCCAGAGGGGTCTGGACCTGTGATTTCAGATGCCAAGGTTGCCAGCTCAAAATAAACCTATATCTTGATGAAAAGATCCAGTGGCATCAGGAGGCCATATCTGGGGGACTTTCATATTTGATGGGGACAGCAATGACTTCACTTTGTTTTTAGAGCTATCGGGTTAACGGGGACCTTCAGAGGTAGAGTACCTTCTGGGCTGGGCTCTTAACTGCCACTAAATGATGGGTTTCATCTTACTCCCATTTAGTGTATTGCCCAAGGCATTATATTCTCTCCAAACTAATTTTCTTGCATTTGAGAATTTGCTCCTGAGATCGGAGGCTCCCTTGGTCAAGCTTGGCCCTGTCTGGAGAGAGATAAACAGGCCCCAAATACATTTTCAGATTGCAACACTGGCAAGTCAGGCAGGGTCAGACAGCTGTTCCCTCCAGCACCCCTGCTTGTACCTGATAAGGCAGAACACGGCTCATTCCAGCGCACTGGCATGCATGTGCACATAAACAGACACTCCCAGGCCCCAGAGTTGTCTTAGAGTAAATTATTGACATTCTGAATAGCTGAAACACTGGGAAAGGTGAGTTCAAACTTACCTCTGTTCGAGGGAGTTCCAGAGTTTGTAAGTCCAAATCAGTCAAACTAGGGTTGGCCCTAGTTTGGCCCCACTTTGAGCCTACCTGGTCAAGGGCAGGGGCACAAGTCCACTGAAGCTTCGGAAAGGGGAAGGGAATTTTGCAGTGGAGCAAGGGGGAGGAAGTTAGAATGGGGGTGGGAAGATTTTTGAAGGAGTAGAAGGCAAAATGTTCATAGACAAAAGATGCATCATAGAAAGGTAAACATACCTTTACCACCAAGAGTAAACTTGACTCCACGGCATCTTTAAAACAAGCAAATGAGGGCCTCCCTGGTGATGCAAGGAGTTAAGTCTCAGCACTATGAAGCTATCCGTAGCCACCGCAGCACAAGTTCTATCCAATCCCATGCCCAGCCAGGGAGGTGAACCACATGGCACAGTAGACCTCTCCTGTCTTGCCCGCTGCTCCCCTCAGCAGTGTATTTCAGTAGATCTGCCTGTTCTCCCCACTCTGTCTCTGGTGAATCCTCTCACACACACCCCCATCTCTGGCCTACACCCCAGCTCTTGTATACATAAATAAATAAATCTTAAAAAAAACAAGCAAGCAAGCAAGCAAGCAAGCAAGCAAGCAAGCAAATGCACCTGTCCTCAACAGTGTCTAAGAAGTGGGGGCAGGGGATTGATAGCAATAATATCATCATACCTCCCCATCAATCACGTATTACACTTATAATCAACACTTCATGTTACCTTTATGAAAAGCAATTTATAGTTTGTAAGGGGCTTTTCCATTCACCTTTTCCATTCACTTATTAACCCATTTAAGTGGGTAGGGCATTATGAGCCATGTTTTACAGATGAGAAAACTGAGGCTCACGAGAATATATGCAACTAACTGAGGCATAATTAAGAATAAGGAGGGGCGGGTTTGTCCTAAGTAACCCATAGCTAAAATACTAGACTCCATGACTCTTTCCTTGGAAGGGTGATGGCTTTTCTGTGATGGCTCAGAGGCCATTGTATTTCTAGGCAGAGCAGCCTCGCCTTCTTCTGTGTTGTCTGGAATACGTTTCTCAAATTAAACACGCTTCTGATTATTTCTGCTTAGTACTTAGATCATGGCGATATGGCATCTGTGAAGATTAAAGTAGCAAGGCACATTTCTAGGTCTATCCCATGCCCTTCTTTCTCAAGTGCCCCATCCTTGACCAGTTCTGTCTGTTTTGGAAATAACACCTTTGGGTGCTCAACTCTCAAGTTGGAAGGAAACGTCCTTATTTACATTACGGATGCACCCCACCCAGAGGGGTCAGCCAGGTGTTTTGAATGTGCTGCTGCCTATTGGAATCTTCAAGCAGTGGTTCTCAAACTTTGGCCCACATCGAAATCATCTGAGGAGATTGTTAAAGATGTGGACATCCAAGCCCCACCCCAGACTTTCTGAATCAGAACCCCCCAGGGGTGGGGCCTGGACATTAGTGAGCTTAACAAGCTCCCCAGGTAATTCTGAAATGTACTAAAGCTGGAGAATGACAATCTTAGCTGGGGGGTGGGAGTCACTCAGGTGATAGAGAGTGGGTGTCAAGCTGGGAGAGCAGGCGCAGCAACGCCAGCAGACTCGCAACAATTCTTGGCTCCTTTCTTGTCTCCCTTTGACAAAGTAGTCAAATAACAGGGTTAGAAACCTCTTCATGCAGCTATGTTCTTCTGACAGATTTGCCACAAGAAAGAGCAATGCTTCTTTTTAGAAGCAGTTATAATACCTCTCCTTTTTCAGAAAGTAGACGATTACCGCCGGAACTGAGGGGAAGGGGGATGAATTAGGCATTACCGTTTAATGGGTTTAGAGTTTCTGTTTGGGATGATGAGAAAGTTCTAGAAATGGATAGGAGTGATGGTTTGTTCTGCAACCATCCCAGGCTGGATGGGTTCACTGTCAATTCTAGTGATTTGAAAGAGAATTTTGGAGCCCTTGATCATTTTCACAGGTTTTAATGGTAAGCAGGGAAAACAAGCCAGCAGGGAAACAGCAACTTGAGCTCTTGCCCCCAGGATGACACCGCCTTTTAGCCCCTCCCTCCCAGGCACAGGTGTGCATACTTGCACATGCACGCATAGTCATGCACAGGTGTCCATAATCAGGCATGCGCACCTCACACCCATAGGCCTTCTACATCAACAAGATCAAGGCCACAGGTGATAACCACAGAGGCCGAAGGCGTAAAAAGCCTGATCAACTTCATTTACCCGATATGGTTGTACAACACTGTTAATGTATTTAATGATACTGAATTGTGCACTTGAAAATGGTAAGTTTTGTCAATCATATTTACCATACACACAAATAGTAGATCTTTTTTGAGGGACAGAATTATAGGACCAAAGAACTTTCAACTTTAGCTAATTATTGCTGCTCTATGTGTATGTATATGGGGGGGCGTTATATAAGGGGATTAACTCAGAACACGTAGATGACAAAGTACAAGTATATTCATGGGAGCAGAGGAATAGATAAAAAATTTGAAAATAGCTGGCAACAAAAATGTGATGGAGATTTAGGAGCTGCCTAGAACACTCTTTCCTGCCCCCTCTGCCTGGTTGACACCGTGCCTCGTAGCTCTTCCTTTGGAGTGCCTTGCAGAGCAGTGTCTCTCAAATTTCACTGGGCGTGGAATCACCTGGGGACCTTGTTAAACTGCAAATTCTAATTCGGTAGGTCTGAGGTGAAGCTCTAGCCTGCATTTCTAACAAGTTCCCAGGTGAGGCTGATACCACAGATCTACAGACTATCGTGGGGAGGATGTGTAAATTCAAAGTTGTTCTTATCCTCATGCCAGAGTGGTTAACATGCAGTAGGCGCTCCATAAATATGTATTGTATGAATGATGGCGAATATAAGGTTGGGGTAGGAGTTTGTAGGGTGGAATAATCTTTGACCTGAACGGCAACCTAGCTGGGTGTTTCTGCTGCTATCAGTCATTTACTTTCTGAAATCACCTCATAGTCCACACAGGAAAAATGTTAGCACTAACTTACTTCCTGCCTTGCCACCTTGTGGCCTCAACTCTAATCCTTGAAATAGTTAACCAATACAAGTGGAGGATAATGAACCTTGGTTTGCAAGCTCTAAGGCAGCCTAGCTATAATCTGATATCCTGCAAACAAATCCTCTCTATCCAAGGAGCAGAGTGCAGGGAACCTGCTGGAGTGGGAATTTCCAGGTTTTGATGCCTGCCTGAGTAATTGCCACCTGGTCTCCTCCAAATCCCATAAACAGCTTTTTCAACAGTGTATGTGAGAAGGAATTTCATCCCCCTAAAATACGTGCCTGTCATAACATTGCCATTATTTCCTATTATCGTTCATGATAATGATAACGACGCTGGCAGTTGAGCGATGAAATGAGTGGGGAAGTTGGGGGGAGGGGGCAGAGGGCGGCGAGGGCCAGAGAAAGCCGAACTACAATTCCCAGAACCCCCCGAGCAAGCCCACGCCGCGGCGGCGGCGGCGCCCCGCCCCTTTCGCCGGCTGGGCCCGCCCCTCGGATGACGTCACAGAGGTGACGTCACGGCGCCCAGAGCGAGGCTGGGGGAGAGAGGCCGACGGGGCTGGAGTCGTCCGCTTGCCGTGGAGGCTACTAGGGAGCCGGCGAGCGGGTGAGCGGGCGAGCAGGCGGCGAGCTAGCGCAGGCAGGAGGCGGCGGCGCGCGGCGCGGAGCAGCGCCGGGGCCGGAGAGGGGCAGCCCGAGCCGGGCGCTGCGGGGTCCCCACCCCCACCCGGCCGGACAGTGCCCGGTGTTCCCCCGTGCGGGGGGCGGCGGCGGCTGACGGGGCCCGCCGGGCCGCGGGGGTGTTGTCACCTCCGCCGAGGAGCCGGCGCGGCCGCGGGCTCGTCAGGGCCGGGGCCCGGGGCCGTGACAGACGGGCCGAGGAGGGAGAGAGGCGGCGGCACAGGCGACGGGGAAGCAGCGGCGACACCATGTCATCCCCCAGCCCGGGCAAGAGGCGGATGGACACGGACGTGGTCAAGCTGTATCCTTCGTGGAGGGGGTGCGGGCTGGGTGGGGGGTCGGGGTGGGGAAGCCGGGGGCACCCCCTGAAGCCCGAGCTGGGGCCCTGGGGCGCGCCGCTCCCCTGTCCGAGGCACCCCTCCTTCCCCCCCGGTGCCTACGGCGGCTCCTTGGCACCTCCCAGGGGCCGAGAGCCTGCTCAGCGCCCCCTTTATCTGTAGCACCCCGAAATATGCGTTGTTCTTCTCTTTTTCTGCACCCCCAATGCCCTGACTTTTCCCCACCATGTTCGGACTCCCAGAACGACCTTTTTTTTTGCAGGACTAGCCACCTCTCTTCGGGGTCTCTCTTTCCTGCTGGCTCCAGATTTAGGGAGTCGAGACAGAAATTCCCCAGTGAAGCCTTTATGCTTTTCTTGAGATGTCTGTCTCCTTGCCTTCCACTCACAATGCTGCTTGAACTGGGGTAACTCAAGTGACCTCCTTTATCCCTAATTCCTTTCTATATTAGGAAGAGAGGAGTCTGCTCAGTGCCCCCGCTTGTGATAAAGAACTCTGAATGTTTAAATCAGAGACCCCTGTTAAGCTTCCTGTACCCTAGGACAACCCCACAGTTTTTCTTTTCACTGACAAAGCCTATCCCACCCATAGTTGCGCGTGGTGAGGACCCCCAGGCCCTCCAGCAAGCAACCCTCCTCCATATTATGGCTATGACAGCTGGGGGGAGGGAGAGAAAGAGGATCTCCTTAACAAAATAGCTCCTGTACTAGCTACTTAAGCAAACTCCCTCTATGAGGGTAAGTTCTTGGACAGTAATTGCCCTCCTCTTGCCAGGTGACACCCTTTATTTTCCACCCCCCTTCCCCCAACTTTATATACTCTGGAGGTAGCATTTGGAAAGCTGTAACTGGTAAGAAGAGTCCTTCAGGCTGTGCTTTTGGTTGGAGTCCAGAGAGATTATTTCGTGACCAGCTAGAGAAATTCAGAAGATTCCTGCATTAGTGGTGAAATTTTTTGAGGGGTAATTTGGGGGCGGGGGGTGGCTGGCAAAGTGGAAATGAGCCCTGTGTTCTGAACAAATCCCTGGGGAGAGTGGAGAAAGGGGGCTGGGGTGGGGAGTGGTAGTGGTAGTGTGAGAAACGCAGTTAAAAAGTCTTGTCTTCTGCTGCTTTTTCTCTCTTACCCCCATCCCCCCACTATTTCCCCCTGTTGCAGGGTTTTGTTTATATAACTCAAGTTGTTTGGCTAGATTCTTCAGGTGAATTCCTTCTTTCTTCCTTTTATTTATTACTGGTTTTGATTGGCTGTTTTACTTCTTTGTAGAGATCGATGATTATTGTCAAATATTCAGTTATGGAATTCGCTGAAGTTTTTAAAAAGTAGTTTTTGCATTTGGGCTTGGAAGTGGGGGATGGGAGGGAAGTTGCCTGGGCAAGGGATTTTTTTCCCTCCCATAATCTTTTCAGGAATAAGTAGGTGTTTTTTTCTCCGTAATCGGTAAAACGTGTTTAGAAATTTGGACCAGTAGATAAACTAACTTTCAGGATTTGAAGTTTAGAATTTTTGGGAGGTGGGAGTAAGCATTAGAGAGAGGAGCAAGTAATGAAGTACATATATTCTGTACCAGATATATGTCTAGGCGCAAGTGAAATTGACTCTTTATGAGCTGTTTGTGGCTGTGATTGTAATGTGTGAATGATAGCATTAATGTTGGCTTTTCATAAGGTTGCAAGAAAACTTGTAACTATGGTTGTGTGTACATTTTACACAAAGCAGTTTCGGGTTTTATTTTTGTTTAGAAACTAGGAAATGACATGGTGGCAGAACCTGAGTTATTTTTATCTTGAATTGAGAGTTACTGTCACACCTAATGCAAATTTCTACCTAATGTTTAATTGGGATGGGGGTGGGAGAGAGTATTCCAGCTGTTTTTAATCAATGGCAGACTCTCAAATTATATACATACATATTTTCAGAAGATTTAGAATAAAGGGTGAGGCCTAACTTGACCTGATGCCTTTTCCATACAGTGCCTTTTGTTCATTTAGTAGTTGTGGCATCTAGAATGATTACCGCATTTAGGAGTCGGGGTGTGGGGGGTGGAGAGGGAGAGGAAAACAGACAAAGAACAGCAGGGTGTCTTTTTTTTTTCCCCTTCCCCTAAGTGGCTTATTTCATAGCTTATTTTTAGTAGAAGATGAAGAAAGGCAAAGATGCATTGGCCTTCTGTTCTTTCCCCACCTTCCTCCTTTCTGACAAAAGAAAGCAAAGGCGATTTAAAACCCTATTCTCTGAGATAGGAGGACACCAGTCTCAGCATTTAAAAGCCATAGGTTACCTTTGTTTCGTGTTTATTTTCTGGTCTAACATAGTTTGGAAGTTAAAATTTTCGTATTTCCTTTTGTGTGTGTGTGTGTGTGTGTGTGTGTGTGTGTGCGGGGGTGGGGGGAGTGAGAGATTTTGTGGCCTCCTTTCTCTGTTGAATTCAAATCAGTAGGCCCAAATGGAGCCAACAGTTTTAGAGCAAGGAATATTTAGGGAAAAAAATAAGGAAAAATTCCCCAACCTACTACTAAAATGAGTACAATTGTGTGAAAGTGCCGGAGGTTGAAAATGAAAGATGGTGGAGAGGAAGTAGAAAAGGTCTGAAGGAATGTACTTGCTTTTTGCCTCACAGTGCCCCTTGATGATATCTTTGGTGTGGAGGCCGATAGCTGATTTCATTGCAATCTCCTGTTTCAGCCCATTTTTGGATATCTCCTGAGTGTCATTATGCCACCACGATTTATAGCCTGGCAGGGAACCTGTGTGTACAAGAGTAGCGGTGTGGGGGTAGGGAAGAAGAGGCTGGGTAAACTAATTGGCCACTGCCTTCCACCACCTCTCCAGGTTCTTCCAGAGACACGTCTGTGGTTGTTGTTTGGAGTGGGTAAGATTTCTTTTGTGACGGGTTGGTAGGAGGAGAGCTGACTCCCAAGTTATGCAGGGAGTGAGTGTTTTGCACCATTGCACTTAATAATCTGCTGGGCGATTATGTTCTGAAACTCTGACTCATTCATTGTTTCTCTTCTGAGCCTTTGCTGAGGGTTGTGCAAACCTCTCCAGGAGCCTAGATGCTGATTTACGTGACTTTTGGGCCCTGTAGGAATGTGTCCCAATAAAAAACTTGCAGTTAGTCCAGATCCTGTGGACTAGTCGTGAAATTGTATGGCCGTTTGTTTGCAGAGTCAGGTAGATTGGTGATACTGTGCCGTTCCCAGCTTGGCAGTCTTTGAGGTTTCCATCTCAAACCTGCCTGATTATTTAGATTGTCTGAGAACTGGGACTCTGGTGACCTTAAAGCGTGATTTGCCCTAAAGGAATATCGGTTTAAGTTCTCCCCGGTGGAGGAACAAACAGCTCAGATTACACGGGTTTCCTTGTTGGTGGGGGTTACTCGTCTCACCCTGTTGCACAGCCTGGTGATCCTTTTATCTGTGAACCAGTGGCCCCTGCCGAAGGCTGGAGCTGCTTGTTTTGGAAAAGCGTTTGCAGGCAAAAGGCCGCAGGCACAGCTCCTCACAGCTCATTGGCTGCTCTGTTACTACCCGGAAAAGGAGGAGGGGCGGGGCTCCCAAACAGCTGATGGAGTGTGTGACCCGAGTGTGTTTATATACAAAAGAAGCAGGGGCTGGGGAGGCCTTGTGAGTGGTGTTACAGGATCAAGTGTATTTTTCAAGGGGTGAAAGGAGGGCAGGAAAACCTGCCCTGGTAGAGTACAGTAAATGTTCAGAAATAACGAAGGTTCAATCAGAAAAGTGGATCTGACCTAATGGGGCTTGGTATGTGCTCTAATTGTTTATAAAACCAAGAGTTTTCATAGATCCCCTTTTCAGAGAGATGTGGTAACTTAAAACAAGATATGCCACTTTAGCTCACGCAGGTATTGGAAAGTGTGGTGGAAATGTTTGCTCACCCTATAGAAGCTTCGAGTGATACAGTAAGGGTCAGTATCATCTTCGAAATTCATTAACATTAGTGGATTTCATTGAATCCCGAGGCCCTACTTTATGGTTTCAGAAATTTCTGTAACAAGTTCATTCCCTCAAACATTTGCGCACCCCATTTTTGACAGGGTTGGTGCTCGTTGCTGGGGGGATTAGTGAAAAAGTGTGGGTGGGCACTGAATTATGTAATTAGTTAAACAGTAATTAAAAAACCCCAATGGACAGCTGTGTTTATAGCAGGTCATCACTATATGTGTCACCTTGCTTTTTGAATAATTTGTATTTTTAGAATTGACTTTTCAAGGAATAAACAGTGAATTTTGTGTGATGGGATCTATATTTTTATTACTTAAAAGATGTTAAAAAAAGTTAAACAAACATTAAAATGTGTAGCCATTTGTTTTTAACTTCAGTATTTTTCTGTTAATCAGCAGTTATTCTATCCTTTAGTAGTCTTTGTTACTCTAATTTGTGCTCAAAGTGTAGACAATTCTGTAATCTTTTAACTAGCTCCAGTGTCAATTGGGAACCTGTAGTTTGCCTTTTACTTCCTGTGGCCTCTGCTTTAGGCAGCTGTGAGATGGCAGGTGGGACAGTTTTATGGGCTTCAAGCTAAAAGTTAAAGCTTTGGCAATTCCCAGTGTTGAGTTTGTTTTCTCTGCCTGGATTTTGGTGACAAATATAACCTGCTGGTACTTATTTTGGTCAAGCTGGAACCTTCATGAGTCAGCATTCACAGCTTCAGGACTTCTGATTCCTGCAGTGTAGTTCTAGTAAATTACACACAAGCCTAAAAATTCAGTGTTTAGGGGAAAAAATCTTTTGCAGATGTGACCTATAAAAATCTCTTACCCTGTTTGTGTGATTGTATTAGAAAAACCTGGATTTGTTGGTTTTCTAGTGTTGTGCAATTTCCCCAGCAACTTGAACTGAGTTTATTTGTGTGTACATGTATATAATTTTAAATTTTAGTATCTTGTTCAATCTTATTTGATTTGTTGGCTTCAAGAATCATTGGACTTTTAGGCACGCATGACAGACCTGCAGAAGTGCTTATAGCGTAATGGCTTTTCAGTGTAGATCCACAGTGTGTACATTTTACTAAAATAATTTAATAAAAAAATCATAAAAGTAATGCGGTAATCAAGTAAAATATAACATAAAAAGGAGGGGGGAAATCACTCATAGTCCTATCTTTTAAATGGTGGTTCTCAAACTTTAGTGTGATCTTAATTAACTGGAGGGTTTGTTAAGACAGATTGTTGGGTCCCACACCTGGAATTGTCCAGTTCAGTAGTTCTGCAGTGAGCACTTGAGAACTTGCATTTCTAACAAGGTCCCCATGATGCTTTGTTGTTGGTTCAGATATCAGCATTTAAAAACCACTATCTTCAAATGTTGACAATATAGTGTTTTTCTGTCAGTGTTTCATTCCCTTCAGAATATGTTATTTTCAACTGTTGATCATACTGATGTGCCCTGTTTTTGCTTAATGTTTTTGCAACTATTTTTCCAGTTAGAAATACCAGGCATAATGAATAGTTTATGTAGTCTTACCATTACATTACTACGTAATGTGCCATTGATTTAATTCTTTACAATTTTTCTACAAGATTGAAATTAACATCTTTGTGCATGAGGCTTTGCCTCCCTATATTTTTTGATTTTCTAGAAATTCAATTCTAGATCAAAGAAGGTAAACATTTGAATCAAAACATTTAAACATCTTGGAGCCCCACATTCAGTGTGCTTTCTTTTTGTTCTCTTATGTTTTAGTTGGTGTGATTTTAGCATTTGAAGCAGTTAGCCTGGCATAGCATTAAAAATGAGTTCTGATTTCTTTGCTTAAACTTTCTTTTTGTGTGTATGTGATAATGGTGATCCTCAAAATAGGGACACTGTTATTTCTCCCAGTGCCTACCTTGAGTTGGTAGATTTCAATATATTATATACATGAGCAGGTAGATCTGACTGGGCAGAGCTCAAGGATAGTTTGGTTATCTTGAATTTTTTTCTTT